GAGAAGTTTTACTGCACCATGCCTTCTTTGCCATGGCATCCTGCCTTGGAGTCCGCTGCTACAGACTGAAACATAAGCTAAAATAAGACCCCCTTAGCCCAAGTTGTGGGTGTCAGGTTTTGTCTCAGTGACAAGGAAACAGACTAAGACAGACACTGAACCAGAGACTGTTCAGCCTGGGCTGATGCTGCCAGGAGGAAAATGTGACACTGGCTGCTCCTGTCCTCTCATATGAGGGGCGGATTGCCTAAGCCAGGCCAACAATGGGGCTCAGCAAAAGAGCTGTGAGTGGACCCTGCTTATGTGTGGCTCCCAAGGCACCTTCCACCCATCTCTATAAGAGGACCAGGAGCACCTGGCTGTCATCACTTCAGAATCATTTCAGGTACTATTGTGCCCCACAGTGGCTCCTCCTGAACGTCCACTAGGTGGGAAGCTGTGATTCCATGTCACATCCTTCCTCCTTTTGACCTCCAGGTAGGCTCTACAGTTCACACCAGCAGCCACACCAAAGGTCTTCCTGCTGTTCCAACCCCGATTCCAAGAGGGAGCCTAGACTTCTTAGCTTGGACCAGGGCTCAGAATATTCATGTTATTGCCACCTATAGAGACACAGACCAGTCTCCTCTCCGTCAGGTGGACAATTCTCCAGTGCCCGAAGAAAAACTTGAGCTCAGTCCTTCATAGAGACCCCCAGTGGAGCGCATGGGTCCTGGCCTCCTCTCCTTCCCTGCCTCACTGACCCTGTCCCTAGCTTCCTGGGGACAGAAACTCTATGTGCAAACTCCTGACTCATGTTCTGCCTTTTGGACTGGAGCTAGAGGATCCAAGCCAAGACAAACATCCTACATGATGGCTGATGCACACATGGAATCCACAATGAATGTCTGCCTGATGTTAATTAAATGCTTCCTGTGACAGGAACCTCATCCCTTCCTGCAACTGGGTCAGGGACAGATCCAGGCTTGGGCATTGGGTCAGTCATGTGCTGGGCTTTAATGAGATAATATTTGATAAGTGCCTAGCATTTAGAAAAGTCTTAGTCAGTGGGATTGCCTGCTTCTTCCAAATTTCTTGGCCATGCAGACCAGTTACAAGTGCTGCCCTGAGTGAGGTGCTGGGTGGGGCTTATTCCTTCATGCGGCCATATAGAGAGCTGTTTCGTACTTCCGTTAAATACCAAACTGTGGGTATCTGCAGAACATTGTATCAGTTCCTGAGTCCAGGCTCCTTTCTTGGGATCTGCTTATTATCCCAGGACTCCTGCCACATCCTCAAACAATGACCTGTGGCTTTCAGGAGGCTTCTCTCCCAAAGCATTACCTCAGAGGGGACCCATAGTCTTCCAAGATCATGACCCAAAAGGGATCAGGGCTGTCTATGACCAATGGCTGTGCCAGGAAATGGAAGGAGGAGCTGGTGGGTTCTCAGGGCTAAAGGGTGGTCACCCCTAAAGCAAGTGGGGGGGGGTGCAAATCCAAGGGAAAACAAATACACTATAGAAGGGAGACATGGTCAACCCAGCTAGCCCTGCTCTTCTGAGGTGCCACTCTGAATCTGACCTTCATGAATAGTCTGACCCATTGTGGTTATATGTCACCATACCCAGTGGCCAAGGTACACACCAGCATGGATCATTCCCAGAATATACTTCAGGGTTCCCTCATAGCAACTGTAATTCCCCAATAGGCCTGGATTCTAGGAACACGTGTTGTTGAAGACAGAATTCATGGGACCATGTCCACATCACGTCCCACAGATTGCATTTCTAAATAGTACAGGCTGCATGCCTTGAATGAGGGATTAAATCCAGCTGAGGCTAAACCAATCTTTAAAAGAGTAAGGGAGTAGAAGAGAGCCCCACACTAATCCATTGCCCAGCAGAGGTGGGCTTTCTTGAGACCTGGTTTATTCTTGGGGTGCTCTGGCCACTACATGCAGTCTTCTGTGATCCAGATGCTCTTGGCCTCTTCATAGCACCCACTTCCCAATCCTGTGGAGGCTCATTTTGTCAGAAAGGGGTAAAAGACACCTACAGGTTTGTGGCTTAGGCTGTTACGAGAACCTTCTGTAACAGCCAAATGATAGATAGTTCTATTATTTGAACTCAGCCTTTGCCGAGGGTACACACAGCTGACTCTTACCTTGGGCCTAGTGGATCCAACACTGCAAGTCTGTAGGTGTTGCTGGTGTAGATGGCAGTAAGTCTTTCCTTCTGGTTCCAGCACTGTGGGGCTGCTATGTAGCGCTTTGATTTGGAGGCCTAGTGTCATAGCTCATTTAGGTTGCTATAACAAAATACTTTATCGTAGATAATTTACACACAACAGAATTTTATTTTTCACAGTTGTGCACGTTGGAAGTCCAAGGGCAAGGCCCTAGAATCTTTGTGTCTAATAAGGACCTCTTCTTCACAAGTATCTTCCGTGTGTCCTGTAGTAGCTGAAGACTCAAAAGGGTTCCTGCCACCCTCTCGTATAAGGCATTGATCCTGTGGCTCCGTGACCTAGTCATTTAAAAACTCCACTTCCTAGCACCATGTTCTTGGAGTTAGGCTTCAATATATGTGCTTAGGGGCACAGGACATTCTGACTCCAGCAGCTGGCTTGCTCCATAGCAAGACCCAGGGAATCAGCACTGGGTCCTCAGAATACAACCAGTATTCACCAATATTCCGTATAGCAGTAAAAAATAAAGAATATTGCCTATGCAGTGTGCCCAAAACTGGGGAGAATTTTGTGTAACTTCCCCTTTGGGTGCCCATATGACTTTGTTTATCCTTCAACCTCACCTTCTCTCCATCTGATTTAAAACCACAAGATCTCAGTCCAGCAAATGCCAAAAAACTGTGCTGCCCTTCCTGTCCTTTGCTAGGGTTGGGGTGAGGCCCCATCATCTACTTCTTTACTTTATTTTTGGTGGTACCAGGGATCGAACTCAGGACCTTGTGAGCTATCTCCCCAGTCCTCCATTCTTTTTTACTGAGACTCCACTGTGACAGGAATCTCGGGGTCTACCTTCCTTGATTTTAGAATAGCAACCAAGACACCTTGCATGTCTTCAGTGCCTCTTGGTGTTCTGAATGTTTGCAAAAAGGAGATTCCAATAAAATTTATGTTAGAAGGTAGTGGAAAGCAAATTTGCAGATGGACAGGAAGTAAGACGGTTACTCAAGCAACATATACTCGAGTTCGAACACCTTCTGCTTCTGTAGGCTACAAGCCATCTGCAGCTCCTTGTCTCTGACCTGTTATCTCAAGCTCAGGGTGCATTTCTGTAGCCAGAATGTTGCTTTTAGAGAAATCATTTAAAACAAAACTATTCCTCATACACCAACTCCATCAGGTCCCTGGAAACAAGTTCTCAGACTGCATCTGTCAGCCTGAAAGTTAGGCTGCATCTTTATTCATCTGGCCTAAACCCTTCCAATCATAGAACAGGCTTTGCAAATCCGGTGCAACTCTGGTAGAAACCATCATCACAACAGGGCGGGCAAGAAAGCTCAGCAGACTAAGCATTAGCTTAGGCAAGCACCGGGACCAAGTTTCGATCTATATGCTGCCCTGGCCTGGACCCTGGGCACGCAGAGCCAGCTACCGACGCCGGGACTGGTGGCACATGTCTGTAATCGCAGAGACGGGGAGGCTGAAAACAGGAGGATTACTGTGAGTCTGAGCTGCATAGTGAGACCCTCTACCAAATACATTAAAAAAAAAATCACATCTGAAGTGGTGCTTAAATAGAGGATTTATAAAGTTTGCTTAGTTATAATAGAACATACTGTATATAGAATGCTTGCTTTGCACTTAATCTTACTTTTTTAAAGAGAAGGATTTAGGGCTGAAAAGGCATCTCAGTGATAGAGAGCACTTTCCTAGCACATATGAAGCCCTGGGCTTCTTTCTCTGAAACACACACAAACACACACACACACACACACACACACACACACAGAGAGAGAGAGAGAGAGAGAGAGAGAGAGAGAGAGAGAGAAAATTTGTTGCAGAATTGATGCCTACAGATTTGCATACTATGACCGGTTCAGTAATTCAGAGCCGTGTGAATAACCCTGAGTGTGGTTAACCTATGTAAAAGCGTGGCACAGCCATAATCATTACACATCACATCCACAGAACTTTCTCCATCCTGTCCAGGTCCAGCCCCTGGAGAAGTCCTAGTCAGACAACTCCGATAGGGTCTCACTATACAGCGCAGGCTGGCCTTGAGCTCACTGTGTAGCCCAGCCTGGCCTAGAGAAGCGATTTTCCTGCCTCAGTCTCCCCGGTGTTGGGCTTACCAGGCATGCGCCACTGTGCCCAAGTGTGGTTACTCTAAGGACATTTGGGGGTGGCACAAAGGAGGAGCAAAAACCACTAGACACACCCAGGGTCACCAGCCGGTCAGTGTGGTAAAGCCTCAAATACATTTCTTGGCATATTCACGATGACGGTTCAGAGAAACCGCAGTCGCCGGAGTCAGTCTAAAGAGACGCCGAGTCCTAAAAGCCGCGTGTGGGTCATCGCATCACTGCTGGCCGGGGGTGGGGGGTCCTCTCTCGGCAGCCCTGCGCAGGCTCCTACCTGGGGCGCGCGGGGACACCACGGGCCTCTCCCCTTCTCTTCTGTCTGGCCCAGCTAGTCCTCCAGGAAAACAAGGGGCGGGTGAGAGGTCGCAGGATTCCTTTTTGCCAAGGTACACACGCACACCTAGAGGTGATAGGGTTTGGATTTCAAGTCTCACCTCCGGACCGAAGCAATTCCGTAACTTGCCCGGATCGTCACTCCTGAGGCGCGCTGCCATCCAGCGCCCGGGAGGCAGCGCCCGGGCCCCAGCACCGCCCCTCACCCCGCCCCAGTACGATATTCCCGCCTCCTTCGCTTTAGGTCATCGCCCCCACCAGAGATCGACGTGTCTCTAAGCCAATCGGACGCGGCCTGCTCTCGGCCCCACCCCTTCGAGCCTCCAGCGCACGCGCGGTCCGCCCCAGCGGGTCGCGCGGGCCGAGGCGCCGGCGGGCAGAAAAGCGTGGCCATGCAGTGCCCCGGAAACTCGAGCGCGCCCAACCCGCCGGCCCTTGTGGTAGGTGTGGACCGTACACTGCCCCTACCCCTTGGGTGTCCTTCAGCAGTGCGCCTCTTCTATCCCTGACCTTCCGCGCCACTCTGGCCTTGCCGCCGTCCAGGGCTCGCCGGCGCGGGCGCCAGGGTGTCGGCTTGGGGCTGGGGCTCTGGGCTGAGCCCCCCAAGGCCTGCAGACCGCGCGCTGCCCGCCATGCCCGCCATGCCCGCCCGTCGCGTAGTGCGGGTCAGACCTCACAGCGGCCCTCCGAAGAGTGGTGTGCGCTCCCAGCGTTAGCGAAGTCAGGGACTGGGATCAATCATGGCCCTGTTTTGAGAGAAACTCACGTTATATGTCGTGTTGTAGATCTTGAGAAAAGTAAAAGAATTCCCTTATTTTTCTTTAAAAAGAAAATCTAAAATAATATAGATAGACTTTGTGCACATAAACAAGGTGACAACAGACTTGCTATGATAGTGTATAAAACTAAGCCAATTATAAACATTGTATAGGTGCAGTAAAGTTTCACGGTTTTCACACTTTTTTGGATCGTATTGGGGTTAGGCACTCTGTCACTGAGCGACATCCCCAGCAGTTATTTATTTAGAGACAGGGTCTTGCTAGGTTGCCCAAACACAACTCAAACTTACAATCTCTCCTCACTTTCCTAAGTACTGAGGTAACAGCTGTGCAAAGTCTAGTGTTACTCCATGCCACTTAAGAAATTTTTGTTTTCTTTATGGAACTCCCTGAGGAAAACCTGCTCGTGCTAACCAGCCCTAAGGGAAGTTCAGAACAAAAAACTGGACTTCTCATGTCCCATTGTAATGCCTGACATGGCCCTTTTTTGAAAACTGCATAGGAATATTTTTTTGTGTGTACCAGGAATTGAACTCAGCATCTTGTACTTGCTAAGCAGGCGTTTGTAAGCCACTGAGCTATCTCCCCGACTGCAGAGGAGTATTGAAGGAGTTTCTTTATTGCAGTTTCTCTAAGCTCAGCTTTGCTGGATGCTTACCCAGCAAAGGCCTAAGCAGCTATTTTTCAGGTATGAGTTGGGAAATGCACAGATAGGTAGGTGCCTGCTTAACCAGAATGTGATATTCTGCACCAGTGATTAAAAACATGCATTTACCATTGAGTCAAGGAACATCTTGATGATTTGCACACCTCCCCCTTAGAAAACACCTGAAAGTCTGGGGAAATGTAAAACAATAAATCTTAAGGAGCAAAGAATGTTACCACTTAGGAGAAGGAATTGTTTAGGCATGCCCTTTTCCCAGAAACCTTATTCAGGGTTTTCTGTAGGCCAGGCCTTGTCCTGTGTTTATGAACATTGTGTGGATGGCAGAGGGAAGTGCCTTAGAGCAGTGGGTGGGAATTCGGCTCTCCCTCTTCTATTAACCCACTTGTTTGAATTCCAGTCCGTTATCCTTCCCGTCCACAATGCTGAAGAGTGGTTGGATGAATGTTTGAAGTCTGTCTTGCAGCAGGACTTTGAAGGCTCCATGGAGCTCTCTGTTTTTGATGATGCTAGTAAGGTATTTATGAACTTGGGGTGACTTAGTCACATTTTCAATGTTCTGAGGAGGTTCCTTGACCTGCTGCTGTTGCACTTCCAGGACAAGTCTATGACTATCATTGAAAGATGGAAAGGAAAGCTGGAAAGTGCTGGCATCTCTGTAGTCATTGGAGGTCATGATTCACCTTTTCCCCGAGGAGGTGAGTAAACATGTTTAGTTTATTAAACTGTAATTCTCAGTTTCTTATTAAATAGTTTTACATTGTTCAAGTACTAGCAAAAAATCCTGGTAATCATTTGGTTACTGGGTATGGAAGTCTAATTTTGTGAGGTGAACGTGATAACCACTATAGTACAGGAACAGCCTGGAAATCTAATATTGGAGGTAGTGTTTAGGTCTTTTCTGCCCTAGACAAAGAAATGAATGAAACAAGCATGAACAGTGTGACAAAGTTTCACATTTATTAAGGTAGAAAAAAAAAAAACAAGTGAAAAATGGGCTTTGCAGAGTGAGTTTGGGTTGAGTAAAAAGGCTGGAAAAAGAGAGGAAAAATAAAAATATACGGTACAGCACAGGGTGGGCTGTTGGAAGAGACACAGTAGTGCTTATTGGCAGTTGTCCCTTTTTTCTATTTCTTATACTTGGCAACATGTCCAGGGCATCCTATCAAACACCTGCTCAAGCTCTTGCAAGAAGCCTGTGTACAGGATTCTAAGAATTGTTCTGTGCATGTGGCTCAGGATCATGTCATATCTCCTTTCCCAGCCAGTTTTAGCCATGTCCCATCTTCCTGCCTCAGGTCTAGTACTGAATGAGAACCTATTAGACCTAAATTTCTAGTTCTTGGGTAAAGATTTGTTTCTGCAGTCTGAAGTTGTATCTACTGCCCATTGCAGTGTTCAAGCCTAATTCTCATGTCCTGTCATTAGGAAGCCTTTGAGAACTGATGATGTCAAGAGGACAGAGCCTCACAGATGGGTCTCATGTCTTAAAAGAAAGGCCAGAGTTGTAATCCCAGTGCTTGGGAGGCTGAAAACAGGAGAATCGCTACGAGTCCGATCTGTGTAGTGAGACCCTGTAGACCCTGTACTAAGTACATTAAAAAAAAAAAAAATGCCAGAGAAAACTTTACCACTTCTATTTCAGGGGAAGGGTCAAGCTCCTGACCAGACAATCAACCAGTGCCTTAATCTTGGGCTTCCAGCTTGGAGAACTGTGATAAATTTCTGTTGTTTATAAGACACTCTGTGTGGCATTCTGTTGTAGCGTATGCGTTATAGCCCAGGGTTTCTCCAGTCAAGTAGCTACTGATCTGTATCTGCATATATGGAATTGCCTGTTCTAGGCATATTAATGCAGTCCTAACAAGTGTTGTTTTATAACTGACTTTGTTCATTAGGCATAGCATTATTTAGGTTCATCTGTATTATAGCATGCATTAGTACTTCGTCCTTTTTGTGGGAGAAATACTCAGTTGTATGGATACCCAATGTCTTGTTTATCCACTTGTCAGTTCATGGACACTTGAGTTGTCCCAGGGCTTTGGCTGTGAATGGTGCGTGTATGAACATTCCTATACAAGTTTGAGATTTGTGTGGCCTTGAAGTCCTGTCAGTCTTTTTAGGTCAAAGAACTTTAGTGTTTCTTTTAAGAGTGATCTGCTGTTAACAAATTCAGCTTTTGTTTATCTGGGCATGTCTGAATGTCTCTTTTCTTTTTGGAGGATGGCTTTGCTAGATCTGAGATTCCTAACTGATGGTGGTTTTCTTTGAACACTGTGAATATGTGATTTGGGACTCTGGCCTCATTGCTTCTGCTGGTCTAATGAGGAGGCAAGTGTTCCTCTTTCTTCTAAGTGATGTCATCCTTTTCTTGTTTCTATCAAGATGTTTCTCTTGTCTTTGTCTTTTGGCATTTTGTGTAGCAATGGTTAATACATTGCCCGTTTCTGTCTTTAAATTACTCACTCAGTAAAGATATCAGCATTTAATTGTCCAAACAGTATTAGCACAAACCCTTCTCCCCAGTGAACCAAGAGAAATTGGTAGTATAACTATCCCAACTATGGTATATATATATATATATATATATATATATATATATTTTTTTTTTTTTTTCCTTTTCTCCATTCCCCCATCCTAGTTTCTTTCTTCATTTGAAATTTCTTCCTCTTTTTACAATATCTATTCTACATTTTGGATCTTACTTACTCTTTCAGCTTCTCACATTCGTGAGACAAAATGATGTTTATACATGTACATATGGTTTACTTCACTTATGAGTATGGTCTCAAGTTGTATCCATTAACCTATAAAGGTCTCCAGTTTATCCTTCTTTATGGCTGAGTAATACTCCATTTTATTTTTAAAAAAACCCACATCTTTTTTTAATCCATTCCTCGGAATGTCTTTCAGGTGACTTGGGAGGTTTTCAGCTATTTTTCTGCTAGTTTCTCCTCTTTCCTTTTGGTACTCATATCTGTTAGTGCACGTAAGGTTGTTCCACATTCTTTGAGGTGCTGTTCATTTTTATTCATTCTTTTTTCTGTTTGTTGTTTGTATTATATATTCTTTTTCCATCTATTTATAGGTGTGTTAATTCTTCTGCCACTTTGCTTTTGGATTCCTCTTGTGAAAATTTAATTTTCATTACTGTGTTTTTCTGCTTGAGAGTTTTTATTTGGTTCTTCTTGCTCTCTCTGCTGATACCCTCTGACACAACATTGTTGTATCTTTATTTCTTTCATCATGATTTCCTTTAGTTTCAGTATAGTTAAAACGGCTTCTTTGCGTCTGTCTTACGTGTGGCGTCTGGACACTGTCATGGGAAGTTTCTGTTGCCTGCTCTGTGTCCAGGGTATGGATTGTGCTCTCCCATTTCTTTTCATGCCTCCTAGTTTTTGCTGGGAGGTAGTATTTAGATCCTATGCTGTAGAGCCTCTGGTGACTGCCAGGGCTCGCTGTGGGTTCCTGCTCACCTGTGAGTCCCTGGACGGCTTTGATGGTGCTCCTCAGCCATAGCTCCCTACGTCCCTGGGGATGGCAGCAGCGTCACCCTAGTTCTCTTTGACTCTTTCTCAGACCACACCCAGCTCTTAAGCTCCAGTAGTTGATGACTGCTGTGTTGTTTTTCATGGTGCCACGGGTTATAAACGGCTTTGGAGAATAGTCCCATGAAATTGAGGCCATTTGAAGGGACAGTCCCTGAGGTCAGTGTTTGAAGATTTCCTGGCCCTGTGAGGCTCCCTCTAATTCCTGTCCAGCGCGTCTCTGGCTAACAGGTTGGCCTGGAGTCCTTCTGCATCACCAGGGCACCTGCCAGTTTCCTCCCAGGGGCCATTTCACCTGGGATAGAGCTTCTCCACACTTTGTTGCAAATAAGGTCGCTTCTCTGGAGATACAGTGTGCTGTTTTCTTAAGTAGACGCCTTATTCCTTCACAGGGCCTATATGTGCCTCTCTGTGTGTGAAGCCTTGCTAGCTGAAGCCTGTGAGGGAGGTGGACAATATTATTATATCATTTCTGCCTGCTTCTCACCTGCCCCAGGAAGCAGACCCAGGACCCTTGGGACTCTGTGTTCTCAGGGACACCATGGCCAAGGTCGACAGCATCTCTGCCCCATGGGCTGGGGCTGGGGTGTACAGGTAGGTCCTAGTTTTCAGGGATAGCTTGGTCTGAGTGGGAAATGCTGTGTCCTGCCCTCCTTGAGCTGGCAGGTTTGAGTTTCAGGAGGTTTTTGGGGATAACCTTCATTTTCTGTGCACATTAGGATCATTTCTAGAGACTAGATGTGGGTAATTTTTGCTGGGTTGGCTAGGGAGCAGGACGCCAGTGCTGCCACGTGGAAGCATAGCTCCCATCATCCTTCTTTGTGTTCCACTCTGTCCCCTCAGTTGGCTTATCTGTTGTAATTGACTTAGGACTTGGGCCACACCTTAGCTTAGCAGAGCCCCCCTCCTCTCTCTGTTAGAATATTTGTTCTGGCCTCTGCTGCTGCCCCACACTTGGCTGATTTAGCATCTACCGTCTGTACACTGCAAAAGAGACTTGAGTAGTAAGAAAGAAAGTAGTTGGGTGTGGTGGAGCACACTTATAATGCCAGCACTCTGGGAAGCTGAGGCAGGAAGATCACAAGTTTGAACCAAGCTTAGACAACTTAGTGAGAAGTATTTGCATGTTTCACAGATGAATGTCTGCTTTGATAAATTTTGAATACCAACATGTAAAAAGAAATTAAGCACTAGACAGACCTGCGAAGCTATGTGGAGCTTTTGCCAGTGAGCTGAGACCCAGCTAAGCGCCACTCTGGTCCTCAGCAGTGTATTGACACCACTAGGGCTGAACCAGTTTGATTCTTTTCTACAACTCCTGACTTATTTGCTTTGCCAGTAGGTCTGTTCCAACATTCAGGCATTATGAAAACAGTGTGGATGGTGTTATCAACACATACCTGTGCTCTCAACAGTGTCGGGGAGCAGACCCAGGAGGACCTCTTCCCCCCTACAGCACGTCTCCTTTTCCTTCCATGTCTCTGTCTCTGGTTTTTCCATGTTTTTGCTTTCCTTCTCTTTTAAAACATTTTCTTCTTATATCTTTTTCATTTTGCTGGACTTATTTCTTTAGAAATCCTGTTTGTATTAGGGATATGGATGGCAAATATTTGAAGCTCACAGCTATCTGACAATGCCCTTTTAAGTTGTGCTCCTCAGTTACACTGGGTGTGGAATTCTAGGGACAACATAATTACGAAAGAATTGATCCATTATCTTCTAGTTTCTTCTTTTTTTTTGGCACTGTGGCTAGCTCAGCCTATGGCAAGCTCATGTCTGTGTCTGGTGCTGGGGATTGAACTGCAGTCCCTGCGCTTTGCCTAAGCTTGCATAAGCAAGCGCTTTAGACCACTGAGCTATCTCTCCAGCCCTCTTCTAGTTTCTTCTGTGATAATAAGAATTATACTTTAATCTAACTTGTTATTTTAAAGACTTCTTTTTTTAATTATATTTTTTAGGGAAGGACCTACAGGGTGTTCAGGGTCTCACTACTAGGTCAGACTTATAGTGGTCCACCTGTTTACAGCCTCCCAAGAGCTGGGATTACAGATGCTCCCCACCATGCCCAGTCTCAGTTGTCTTCTCAGCATGCCCTGGGGAGCGGGACTGGCAGGCCCAGGGATTGAACCCCTGGCCCCTGCGCCTGCTTG